TTTTAAGTTTGGGTGGCATTAATTTGTTGAAGCACATAAAACAAGAACATCAAATTTACATACAATATCAGCCAAACTGAAATATCCAATGCACTACTAATAAATGCATTACAATTTTAAACTACAGGGTACACCTGCCCATTTCTTTGATTTTGCAATTTTACTAATGTTAATTTGCAAGGAAAATAGTCTTAATAGCAGCACAACTGAAATATGGGAATCTTGTTCCCATTAGACAGCCAATCTCAACATTCATTTGTGATACTAATACGTAATAATTTTACATTTTCACTATTTTACAGATTATCCTGCTCACATTAGACTTCCAATCTCAACATTGCTAATACCTTATAATTTTACATTTTCACTATTCTACAGATTGGATATCATCCAGAATATAAGGGTACCCGGTGCTTTCACTTGGTTAGAACAGACGGGACAACCGAAGACTTCTCGTATCGCAAGTGTGTCCTTGCTGCTCTTGATAGCATTGCCCCTGAAAAAGCAAAACTCTACAGGTCAAAATGGTTGGAACAACAGGATTATGAATGATCCAACTCCTTGTGCAAGTTCACATGAATGTACATGCATGTATAATAACATTTAAGGGAGCGGTTCAACGTTGTGCCATCATTTTGACCTCAAGCAGTGTTATGCAGTCATTTTGACCTCAAGCGTATATATCACAGCTTATAATGTCTAGTCGAGGAATTTATTTTGTGAGAGAAGTTGGAGTAAGGCAGTTTTAATGGATGACTGATATTTAGGCAGCTGACATATCATAGGTTCTCTTGATGGCAGGCCGACATTCTTTAGTTTCCTTAGATGGATTTTGGTACATGTTGTTAGGCATATGGGCATATCACCTCAGAAGAGTAATAGGATTTTCTACTGAGTGGTAGTGCACAACAGGGGGCAAGAGGGTTAGATTTAGAGTAAAACTTTCATTTATTTTTTTTTAAAATCATTTCTAATATGTATTTAGTTGTAACTCTTATGTTACCCATAAATACAGGGTAGCCACTTTCTGTTGCTTCTTTTTGCTTCTTTCACTAGTATTTGGTTTGCCTTCAATTTTATCAGGCAAAACAAACTAGTGGAAGCAGCAACGAGAAGCCTGTTAGGGGTAACCGCTTCCTCCATTAATGATATATGTATTTCGTTGAAGAATAAAGCATTTGGAAATGCAAAAACTAGTTTACAGCTGATTATGTTGTTGAGCACTTCTAAAGTTAATATATCATATATGCTGTACATTGTTACGTTATTGTTGCAGGAGTAGAGATAGAGCTTTAACCCAGATGGTAGAATGACCAGCTTGGCTTGCAATTTTGTTATCCAACTCCTGGATTTAAACTCAGACAAGTTTCTGTCAAAGCAAGTCTTTGGCGTGGAAAAGATGTTTCCCATTCAATAATTTGCTGATAGCGAAATATGTTTCTCATCGAATTAATTCTGTTCATACGGAGTCTTTTTTTTTTTTTTTGTTTTAATGTCTGTCCACTTTCATAAGCACCTTTCTAGCCCATGCCTGCATGCTTATCCAAGCTTAGTTGTGTTGTCGGCCTCACAGGATGAGGAAGTATGTCAAAAAGACAATAATTTCCCTTTTGCACAATCCCATATAACACTTTTGAGTCCATATTATAAGCTTCAATGTCTTTTAATTTTTGTTCTATTTGCAACTACTCTTTTGTCTTCTCACGTATAATAATACCCATACTTTTGTATTTTTTTTTTTTTTTATATTCATTGTACAAATTATCTATATTTATTTCAATTTTTTCACTTTTTATAATGGAAATTGTAATAAAATATTATATAAAAATAATAAGAAAATAGTCAACAATTAATAAATTGATTGAAAACAATTATTCAATCATTTACATTTTTATTATTGTATGGTGGGAAGAAAAGAAGTTTGTAGAAGAGACATGAGTGTGAGTTGTGCGTGAAGATTCAGGGGCCACGTGTTTTGATTTTGAACCCCACACCATATGTAGTTCTAATTGGTGGGCTGCTTTTCTCTTCTGTTTTTGTTTTTTCTTCTCCGGGAGGTGTTATCTGCTTTATTTTGACTTTTATATTCTCCATCATTTTTATTTTAGATTTTAGCTTTCCATAATTGAATTACTTTACTAACAACATATTTGATGGGTTAATATGGAAGAGAAGAATACAAAATCAAGGTTTGTTTCAATTATAACATGTGTGGATGGATGGTCAATCAATTACATTATCTTATTTCTTATTTACATTAGTTGCCCACTTAATTTTTTTACAAAATTGTTCGTAAATTTTATTTTTTTTATATATTTAGCATCCCTACCAAATAAATTATTATTCAATATAAAATATTCTTTAAATTTTTTTTTAAAAAAATTAATATTTGAGATATAAAAGTTCAATAAAAATATAACAGAGCTTGATCTTTTGTTTGATACCAAAAACAAAAAAAAAAAAAAAGCCAATTAACAGGTTCCACAATGTGAGAATATGAAGGAAGTCAAAAAAATAAAAACAAAGGGGGCCGCAACATCCACTAAAATTCCAAACTCGCTGCATTTTCTGACCATTTTCTTCATTTTTTATTATTTAAATGATTTTTATTTTTAACTTTTGGCCCAATCATTTGGATTCTCTTCCTACATAAACACGTGCTCACCCCATTTAAACCAGATATGGCAAACCACACCCCACGACGCCATAACTCATCCCTTTATTTTTTATTATACTTTTTCAGCAGGGACTAAGAGTATTAATTAATAGGGAATAACATGTTTACTAATAGCTCAATTAAATTTTTTAATAAATTATTTATGAAATTATAATATAAACCATCGTGACAATAAAGTTGACTAAAATCTCGAATCTCTGCATGAAGAGAACACGACATTAATGTAATGAGGTCTTGAATCCGTTATGATGTTGTGGTGAAATAAGTTCGAGACTAGCCAGTGCATGCATTTGTTTCGCGTCTGTAAAGCATGAGGAAAATAGCTTCATAGTCAAGTTTGAAATTACAAAAGGAGACACAAGAAAGGTAGAAAGAGAGAAGATATTTGAGAAGAGAGTCTACTGGTGTGGTGGAGGAGGGAAAAGGAGAGCCAATGTGTGGAGGAGGGTGTGAAGGAGATAGATGAGAGATGGTGGTAAAGATGGTGGAGAGGGTTCAAATAGCATATTAGACTTTGATGGGGAGAGTACAGTCATCAGCTGTGAAGTTTGTGATGCTTCCTAACTACTTCCATCGCCTTCCTCTATGTCGTCATAATCGAAGACAATATAAGCAGTTGGGTGCTGCTAATTTCAACTTCAACTAATGTATTTTGAGTTGGTTAATGTGAATGTACGTGTGATGATGCAACGTTCATGTGCTATCTATTTAAATACGTAATTATTGTTGACGGTATTAGCGAGTAATAAAAGTTAATAGTATAATTTAAATATTTTAAAAAATTGATGATTAATTTTAACTAAAAAAATATTTGAAATGCAGTTTGAATATTTTTTATAAATGAACGGTGAAATTATATATTTTGATATTTTTATTTAAATTTTAAATAAATTTAATAATGATAATAAAAAAAAAAGAACCCGTATGACAATATTATTTGAGAACAAAATTAAAGTAATTATAATTTTTACTTAATCTCTTTACAAAAGTTTTTTAAAAAAGAAACAACTATTCTCCTCCAACTTTGTTCAAGAAAAAATATAAAAAATAAATAAGAGTATGAAAATAAAATATAAAAAATAAATAACAATAATGATAACGTCTATATACAATAATAAAGTAATAAATTAATAATAATAGAATAATAGTAATAATTAATAAAGCAAAAACCAGCACCGTGAGCGTTCAAGGCCAGTTCTGCCATCACCAAGAACGACGCCGTTTCAAGTCAGGTTCTCTGGAAATAAAAGGGCGTGAAACGTTCGAATTGTTGAGGAAGGGAAGTTGGCTTGGTGGCGCAGGAAACGGGAAGAAGGGAGACACGTAGAAGCAGAGGCGTGCACAGAGAAAGAGAAGAAAAAAGATAAGCGCGCGGGGTTCGTCGCCTTCGAGATCCTCGGAGGATTTTCGGTGAGAAGCCTCATATCCCTTCGCCAATACGCCCTGGTCATTTCGCTCTTTTCTTTTATGCTGACTTCTATGTCTTCCAATCCATTTCCTGCGATCAGTGATGCTGTTTTCTCTCTTCTCTGACCTAAGTTTTTGTATTTTCAATATAGTAAGAGATGGTTGCCTTCGGGAAGAAGTTGAAGGAAAGACAAATTGAAGAATGGCAAGGGTATTTTGATATATTGTCTTATTTTTTGCTTTCTAGTTACTTAGTAATGCAATTTTTATAAAAAACATGGAAGTTTCACTCAATAAATAGGAAAACCAGCTCCGATTTGAAGCGCAACTTTCCGCTTGAACATTCTTATGCTGATTGTTTTTTTTTTTTCAAAAACAAAAGTAAAAACTCAAAAAATTCTGCATAATTACCAATTCATTCTAATATACTAGGTTGTCCTACTATTAATTTTTCTTGTTAGATCACTCAATACGTTTGGCTTACAGTTAACGTGGAATGTAAGGTAGCTGGATTTTATGTTTCTTTCAGATATTACATCAATTATAAACTAATGAAGAAGAAGGTAAAACAATATGCTCACCAAATTGAAGTTGGAACTCAAGATCGTCGCCATGTTCTCAAGGATTTCTCAAGAATGCTGGATAATCAGGTATTTAAATCAGATACATAGAGATGTTTATTTTCTTTTCATGGAGATATGTTGCGAAACTTGGACAACTTGCCTTCTCTCAGTTTGGAACTCATGCATCATCTAATGCTCAACTTGCCTTCTCTGAGTGAAAATACTAGTTTTTTAGTTCCATACAAGAGGTAGCAGTAGATCAGCAAGGAATCCTATGATGATTCCAGAAAGCTAAATATTGTTCAGGTGTCAGTCTTACAAAATATAACATTTCAGTGAATGGTTTTATATAGTTACTACATCCACATGCTTCAGACTTGAGGTGGTTTGTGCAGATAGATTCATATCTATATTTTTAAGTTTTAAGATATCCGTGTTAACTCTCTTTCTCATCTCAGACCCATACTTGTATACATGTGCATTTACATGTTTATGTCTGTTGTTTGAGATATGTGTTTTTACATACAAATATATATGTAAAATCTTTGTGCCTCTCCTGATTGAAGGACTCACGACGTAATGTGATATGCGAACCTCTTATACTGTGGTGCTGCACAGTATTACTGCAGAAAAGTCTGTGGTCAAGTGCTTTCCCCTTTTTATTATTATGTTTTGGATATGTTTCTCTTTCTTCGTTTTCTTGGTAATAAAATGAAAATTTTATATGGTTGCTCGGTTAGAAAAACAACTTTTTGAAAGTAGAAAACTAGGGAACATGTTCTAGGCAACATGTTTTTCGCTTTTGTGATCAAGGTAAAATTAAATCTAATTCTATTTGATAAGTTTTTTTTTTCATGATGTATGAATAATTACTAGTATGCCTCTTAATATTATTACTTCACTTTATTTATAAAATCCCTAATTATTATTATTAACTAATAGAAGCATAAATAACCATCAATTGACTGGTTTTGAACTAATTAACGTGAACAACACATTCGAGAAAAGGATAAGGTGTAAAGAGCATGAAAGAAAATGTTGCAGTGGGGGGTGGACACAGAAGGACCTTGTAAAGAAAGTGATTTTAGAATCTGAGTTTTTTAATTTCTTCATTGGGGAACATGGAAAATTGTTGTCTTTTAATTCTAATAGAAAACATGGGACTTTATTTGCTTTTCCGCTTTTAGTTGTGCAAAAACACTTTCTTTTACCTTCTAGAATCTACTTTTCTACTTTGTTGCTAACAGATACCGATTCTGCAATATTGCTTTCATCTTGTAAGATATTGGGGAAAACACCCAATTTTCTAGATCACTAGTGTTAGATAACAACCTAAATTTCTGTGTTAGAATGTAGCCTGAAATGGGACATGTTTTCTTGGTACGATGATTGCAGATTGAGAAGATTGTCCTTTTCCTGTTGGAACAACAAGGAATTCTTGGAAGCAGGTTAGCTAAGCTAGGAGAAAGGCATGATGCTCTTCAGGGGCAGCCAGACATATCTGAAATAACTGTACTACGAGAAGCATACAGAGAAGTAGGACGAGATCTTTTAAAGCTTCTCTTTTTTGTCGAGATGAATGCTATAGGTCTACGGAAGATCCTGAAGAAGTTTGATAAACGATTTGGCTATAGATTCACTGATTACTATGTCAAGACTCGTGCTAATCATCCTTACTCACAACTGCAACAAGTGTTAAAGCATGTGGTAATGTGTCACGCCAGAGAGGCTTTTCATTCATCTTTCATGCACTTTAAAATAAAGAAGATGGTCTTCTTCTCTTCTTTTTATAACGAGTTCTCACTTTTGGTTATAGCCTGTGGGGCAATGTCAGAGAAATATAAGGTGGAGAAAGCTAGTTAGTTGTCAGGATTTTTTCCATTCAAGCTAATCATCTGGCAAATAAACTTGCAGGGATTAGGGGCAGTCGTGGGAGCAATATCCCGCAACCTTCACGAGCTCCAGGACCGTCAAGGAAGCTACTTATCAATTTATGATCAGCCTGTTCTTCCACTCCAGGTGTCCTTTTATACATTCTTCAGACGCTCAACTGTTCTTGTATTAGTTTTCATATTTCCCCTTGTATCTGTGCGTCAACAGATTAACCCCTTGTATACATTCTTCAGACTGGAGGTTTTGCTGTGGCATTGACTGGCCTTAATCTGCAGGATCCTGTGGTTGATTCAATAAAAGCTGCTGTGGACAGGTTAACCCATTCGACGAACGTCCTTAACTTTTTGGCACAACATGCGCTCATTATGCAAGAGGAGCTACCTACTCCGACAGAGGAACGCGTTGATGATCAGAGATACCATTTTATGTCTCTCCTATTGAATTTGGCGAATACATTTCTTTATATGGTCAATACATATATTATTGTCCCTACAGCAGATGACTATTCAATGAGCCTTGGAGCTGCAGCAACAGTTTGTGGTATTGTAATTGGGGCAATGGCTGTAGCACAGGTGTTTTCTTCAGTGTATTTTAGTGCTTGGTCAAACAAATCATACTTCAGACCTCTTGTATTTAGTAGCATTGTTCTTCTTATTGGGAATACAATGTATGCTTTAGCTTATGATCTTAACTCAATTGCGGTTCTTTTGCTCGGCCGTCTTTTATGTGGGTAAGCTTTCTTCTTAATTATTTTGTATGTTATAACTCTAACCTGCTATAATATGCCTTTTCTTACTTCATTTTTCAGTTTGAGAAATTCTATCTTCTTTTAAAACTTCCAAACATGGTGTATTGGAAAGTAAATATGCTGAGAGTATCAGATCGAACGTTAACCTATAAACTCTTGAAATCTTTGTTTTTAGCTGCAATCTATAGATTGACAAGGTTGTTTATTCTCATTGCAGGTTCGGTTCTGCCAGAGCTGTTAACCGACGGTACATCAGTGATTGTGTACCATTAAAAATACGAATGCAGGCATCTGCAGGTTTTGTTAGTGCTAGTGCTCTTGGTATGGCATGTGGTCCTGCTCTAGCTGGTGTACTTCAGATCAACTTTAAGATCTACAAATTTACCTTCAATCAAGATACTTTGCCTGGCTGGGTTATGGCTGTGGCTTGGCTCATATATTTAGTATGGTTGTGGATATCATTTAGAGAACCTGCCCGTGAAATTGAAGAAATTCCTACAACAAATGAACCAAATCCTGGTATATTTATTTTTATCACATTCTTTTTTTCGCTTAACAGACTGTGTATATAATCATCCATGGTTAGTTCATGCATGCAGCAATCTGATTTAATACTGAATATTGAATTTGTGATGTTTGAAATCATTTCGTTCACATTAGAAATAAATGTGCTACACCCAAAATATATTAGCAATCTGTATCCAAATGGACCGGAGAAAATGACTTGACTTTTTCTTTGGGACATACTGGAAGAAAGAAATTATGGTTATTTGATGGCATATTATAGAAATTCATTATTTTGGGGCAGTTCAGCCCAAATTGTTGCAGGTGCTTATGCAGACGATTTAGGATAAATAGGATTGATTTGTCTAATTCGGGGTTTTGGGATAAAAAAAATCTAGACATCACACCTAGAGTTCCTTAGACGTTATGTTTAAGAAGTTTTAAGTTTCACACTTATGATTTAATTGCATCACATAACTAAAAAATTAAGAAAATCTCTAAATATTATTAGATAATAGAATGCTCAAATAAGTGAAATTACAAGTTATTTATAATAATCTCTAAGATGCCTTTCTAAATAGAACTAAAATAAAACATAGTAAATTGATAGGATTAAGATTGCTAATCCTAATAAGAATAAGAAACTAATAATAATAACATTAAGAAATCAACCCTAATACAAATAAGAACATATATTAATGTAACAAAACCACTTAACATCTACTTTAGGAAGAGGGCTAAATTGGAAAAAGATTGTACAGAGGCAAAAGGGTCAAATTGTTGAAGGGTAAAATAGATTTTCTATTCACCACTTGCTTAGGGAGTTATCAGGGAGGAAGAGGTTGTTTCTAAATATAGCCACTTGCAGGTTGTTAAAACTGCAAGCTAGTTGCAGAAGGTGTAACGAGAAGGAGCACCTAATAAACTGGCGCATCCATCCTGTCTGAAATCAGTCTGTATAAAGGCCTTGGATTTGAATGGAAAAGCAGAAAATAGTCAACTCAAATATTCTCTGAAAGCTCTCTCTCTCTCTCTCTCTCTCTCTCTCTCTCTCTCTCTCTCTCTCTCTCTCTCTCTCTCTCTCTCTCTCTCTCTCTCTCTCTCTCTCTCTCTCTCTCTCTCTCTCTCTCTCTCTCTCTCTCTCTCTCTCTCTCTCTCTCTCTCTCTCTCTCTCTCTCTCTCTCTCTCTCTCTCTCTCTCTCTCTCTCTCTCTCTCTCTCGATCATTTTCTTCTTCCCTTTCTTCTTAATTCCATTTGACATTCAGTCAAGACCATGAGCAAAATCTCTGACAAAGTGGTATCAAAGCCATCAGAGCTGATGAAGACTTATGCTTCTGTCATCTCACAAACTATGTCCAAGGGAAAAGCCATGATGGTGGAACTGCCAAAGGCGTTGTCTGCTGAACTGACTGCTAAAGAGGTGACCAAGAGTGGACCAACTTCATGACAGAGATGTATGATATTCAGCGGCAATGTGGCAATGGCCTGGCCAAATCATGGAGCTTTTTTGGGGTGGTACAAGAATTATTAAAGTGTTGAGCCTGTCTGCGCAGCCAACTCCAGGAAACACCGGGCGAAAAGGAATCTTCTCCTCTCCTTTTTCATGCAAACTAGATGAAAAACATTACCACGACCCAGGCACTTAATTAATGTCTCGAGATGTATCTTTACTGCATGGCCCATCAGCAATCAAAAACTTGGGTTAAATGGTTGTCTGCTGTCGAGTGGTGGTATAACACTTTTTATCACGTCTTAAGATGACACATTTCCAAGCACTTTACAGATATGCTGCTCCACATTTTGTGGACATTATAGATCTTTATTCAACCTCACCCTCGGTGGAGGTGTTCCTGTTCGAAAGAGAGGAGACTAACAGAACCATCAAACAACGGCTCTTGAAGGCTCAAGCAGATGCCTGTCGAACCTACCCCGTCTACCATGTGTCCTAACTCAAAAGATACAACGTGGGCAAAGAGGTGATCATACAAGACTTACCCGCTAATACTTGGGAAGGCGTAGTAGTGCGTGAGTATCCACAACATGTTTTGCAACATAGGATCGTCCTTTGTGGAAATCATCCTATGGACTAGGTTCTTATCCAGTGGAAAGGCACTACAGTAGAAGAATGCACATGGGAAGACTACGATGCATCTGATAGTAATTTCTCAATCTTAACTTTGAGGATAAGGTTGCTGCTCAAGGGAAGGGTATCGTAACAAAACAAACTTAAGTCTACTATATGAAGAGGGGTAAATTGGGAAAAGACTGTGCGGGGGCAAAAAGGTCAAATTGTTTAAGTGCAGAATAGATTTTTTTTCTTCGCCACTTCCTTAAGGAGTTATTGGTGAGAAAGAGGTTTGTAACTACAGCCACTTGCAGGTTGTTTAAACTGCAAGCAAGTTGCAGAAGGCCTTTATAGGGAGTTATTTTCACAAGTTCAACCAACTTTGTGTTGGCAAATCAAACTCTTTGTGCATCTGATATTTCATATTAGTTGAAGTATTCTTCCATTAAATTAAGCCAATCAAGAAAGAAATCGAGGTATCTTCTTCTATCAAAATCAGGAGCTTCGTCCTTTTACCCTCTTGGTGATATCTCCAGTGTTCATCGATGTGTCTTTTATCGATAGTTTGTTTAACTTGTACATTTTGAAGTGGTGGATCTACTTGTACCGTACGTAAGTGTTTCGTTTCTTCCAAGACTGCTTTGATCGTATTTTGCATTGCTTCCAATTTAGTATTAGTGGTTGCCTCATGTCTCAAGCTTAGCATTTAGTTCAGCATTAGTCACCATATTGAAGCTTAATTTATTTTTTTTCGAAATGTCTGGTTGAATCGGGAATTCATCACATGAGCCAAAATAGAACAGATTGCATGAGGTCTGGCCGCGCAGGGGCTTCGCGCGCCGGCTTCCAATTAGGCTGTTGGGCAATCGGCTCAACTGGAGGTGTTGGTCCCAGATTGGAGCCTGTGTACGACTTGACAGCACAGAAGTTCATATTCATGAGAGTCAACGATTATGCGAGTCAGCGTCAGCGAGTGTGGTGTTTCTAGTGGTGTTCCGTGCGTGGCTTCGGGATTCGCCAATCAGAATCTTCCTGAGCTAAAGTAGTGGTTGTCCAGCAGGTGGCTGGTGAACGGTGTTGGCAGCTGTTTTAGGGGTTCTTTAATATAATTTTTTCCAGATGGTTTTGGGGCTGTTTGGGTGCATAGTTTTGAGACTTCCGTTTGTGGGGGTTCTTTTAGCTCTAGTATCAAATTGACGTAGGATCGATAGGGTTGATTTGTCCGACTAGGAGTCTGGGAATAAAAAAAAATCTAGACATTAGATTTAAGGTTCCTTAAACATCACATCTAAAAAGTCTTAAGTATCATGGGTTTGCTTTGCATTACACAATCGGAAAATTGAGAAAGTTTCAAAATATTATTGAATAACTGAGTGTTTATCAGAAAACAAAAATTAAATAATTGAATACTCCAATAAGTGAAATTAAGCAATTTATATTAATGTCTAAATAATATTTCCTATATAGAACTATCTTTTTTGAATAGAAATAAAATAAGAAATAATAAATTAGTAGAATTGGGAATATTAATCCTAATAAGAATAAGAAATTAATACTACTAATACTAAAAATATCAATCCTAGTACAAAAGGAAAATATACTAATAATGAAATCCTAATTACTAAAACTATAATAATATTCCTCAATAATATAGACTTTTAAGTACTATAGTAGTTTTACATTTAACATAATTACAATCTCTAAATTATTGAAATATCTAATACTAGCTCATTTTGCATCAAGATGTTAACTGTGGTAATCAGGGATTTGTTTTCCTGGCTTAAAATAGTGAAGAATCATGGATAAGCATTCAAATCCTGTTTCCTAATTGCGCTGTTTGGGACTAGATAGATTGTAAAGCATTGATGGTAGCTTCTTGTGCTTCCGGTCAGAGTCGGTTGTAAGTCCTCTGTTAATAGTGGCAAAATGACTTTGTTTAATGAGTTTGTTGGGCTTAAGAATCTTCGTCCATAGAGCTGCTCTTCTGTCCAATTGTTGTGTTAATCCATTACCCATCATGCAAACAATGGGTAGAAAAAGAACTCCTCAGGATGTATTGGAACATTATAGTTGGTTGTGATAAATATAGATGCCCATAATGATGGGTATCAAAATCTGTGACATGGAAGAAAAGTTGAGCTGCTGCAGCATAGGTGGGAAGTAACACTAAGACTAATAATGTTTTTTTGTTTGTTTATGCCTAACTGGGCCGTAATTTGATGTTAGTGGGATTGAACCCGCCTGGCCAACTCCATAAGGGAATGGCCTGTCCTCTGATGTGAGTGCTCTGGGGCTATGACTAGTTTCGGTCAGTACTACTATTTTTATAGAGCTTGTTGTAAGGTTTTCATTCTGGATACTAATTAGAGACGAGTTATGTTCTACACATTTCTGTTCGCATCAAAATGATAAAATTGAATAGTTTCATGTCAATGTCCTGGTGATTAATTTTATCTGTGAGGAAATGGCCCCTTCTATAAAATAGAAATATTCTAATTATGTATAATACTGTCTGATTAGAATATTCTAATTAAGCATAATACTGTCTGATTAGAATATTAAATCACTAAAATGACAACAGCAGAAAATGATGCCCTTGAGAAAGGTCTTAAACAACAATTGCTCACTAGTTCTGATGAAAATCAACAAGAGGAAGATGAATGTGACGGAAGTGAAGAAGCTCCAGAGGAATCTCGTGTGGCAGCAAACTCGATTGGCTCAGCTTATAGACTTCTTACTCCCTCCGTGAAGGTACTTTATTCATTATAGTGATTAGTTTAGCAGCTATGATTGGTTTAGCAGCTATATCTTATGTTTCAGTTAGCTGTTCTTTTTCTGTTTAAAAAATGGGTTCTGAGCCGGTTAGGTCTTGTTACAATGAACATTTTCTCAACAGAGTTCCTTACCATGAACATGAATGAGCAGTCCATCAAGCTAGTTTTTAAACAAGGATGAAATATTGCAGTTCTTCAATCTCTTGCCAAAAAAATTACTATCTAATTCAGGAGTGCCAATTTTGATCAATTGCCTACTAATCACTCAGTAAATACTAATTTGGTTATATATTAGCTAGAAAGAAGCAAAAGATAGAGACAAGTAGGATTTTGGAGTTCGAAATGTGTTAAGTGTAATTCGATCCAAATGAAGCTTAAGATGAGATATTTGTTTTAGACTTCTGGCTATCTTGTTCATTACATTGAGTGTAAATGGTAATTGGTTATAATACTTTGGCCATGAAGGATCTCTTCTTTTTTGTTTCCTGGTGATTCCAAAGGTCATATTTAAATAGATGTTACTTGTACCTACTTGTGAAAGTTTGACAAATTATAAAAGGAGAAAGGACTGACTTCATAAAAATTCAACAAAAAAATACTTTATTTGTAGGCCAGATAAGCATGCAGAAATATTTGAAGTATGGCTTTTCATATAATGGAAATAAAAAATGGCAAGTTTGACAGGCCCTTCGAGGAGCAATGCAGAAATCACTTGAAACTAGTATGATGTTAGTACCACTGAAGAGGTGGTCCATAGACGGGTTTACCTTCATTTTGAATAGAACATAGATGGTTTTCACCTTAGCAGCTAGTTTATGAATAAAAAGATCAACATCATATGCATGAGAAACTTTTAGGCAACAATTTCTTTTTCATAAATATTCATAATCAGATATTTTATTCATTTTAATTGATTTGGTTGCCCTAAATTTTATATCATTTTCAGGTTCAATTGTTGATATATTTCATGCTCAAATATGCCATGGAGATTTTACTTTCAGAATCCAGTGTCGTTACCACATACTATTTTAAATGGTCTACAAGCTCAGTTGCCATTTTTCTTGCGTGTCTTGGCCTGACTGTTCTCCCTGTAAACATTGTGGTGGGAAGTTACATTAGCAATATGTTTGAGGACCGGTAAGTATTTCAAGTTGTGTCTTGCTTCTGGTCAATTTTGGCTTAGGTCAAAAGCTCCTGAAATGTTTGTTGTGCCCTTCTAGATATTGATTTTCTCTGCTTTGATTGCAGGCAAATTCTTTTGGCATCGGAAATTATGGTCTGCATTGGCATACTCCTTAGCTTCCACTTAATAGTTCCATACACTGTGCCACAGTATGTCTGCTCTGGGCTTATCATGTTTGTTTCTGCTGAGGTACTCGAAGGTGAGATATTTTTCTATTCATTACTTCATAAAAAAGATGATCAATGGATTGTTATGAGTGATATCCTCCAAATTGATCCAGGTGTGAACTTATCTCTGCTGTCTCGAGTGATGTCGTCAAGACTTTCCCGCGGAACCTACAATGGAGGACTGCTTTCAACCGAAGCAGGGACAATTGCACGAGTTATTGCAGATGCCACCATAACGCTGGCTGGATACTTGGGCGAGAGTCAGCTCTTGAATGTCACTTTACTTCCTTCACTTCTCATTTGCATAGCCTCCATTGTTGCCACCACCTTTACCTATAACTCTCTTTATTAGTTCACAGTATTTCCGCTAGTCATAGTACAACCCCAATCCGTTTGTTAATTTTTTCCCATTTCTATTTCAATTCTTTTGAGGTTCATTTTTCTCCTTCATGCTGTATATTGTCTAAAAAAAATTGTTCATTAGGTTTTTTTTTCCCCGCCCCCCCCTCCTTCAATTGAATTGTAATATATTTTTCTTGCCCCAGTTGGCTTTAGATTCCATCTTTAGCTTGGCCCCAAAGCTTGTTTGATAAATTGCAATAAAGTGGACTGAAGTTAACAGGTATATTTGTTGTTATAAAGGGAATATATATTCAAATATCAAGCAACTTTTTACTTTTTTTTTGTTGTTTTATTTATGTAATTTTTTGTATGAAATTGCAGATGGAAGGAAAATAAACTATATGGAGGGGAGAGGAAAGGGAAAAAGAAATTGTTCAAGTTTCTCTTTGCTTAGTCTGACACTTGAGAAATATGAGAGAAAACCATCCAAAAAATGAAATTGCAGAGAAAAGGAAGAAATTAGAAAAAAAAAAAAAAAAAGTAAAAATAAAAAATTGGATTTGACATGTACTGGAATTTTACCCTTATTTTATACTTTAATTTGTACATTTCTAACTATATTTAAATATAATTTTGATTATTTTAATTAAAAAAAAAATTTACTAATTATAAAATATTAATTTTATCTATTAAGATAAAATTCAATTTAAACACTGTAACATTGATAACATATTACTGAGTTAATTTTTAAATTTTATTAAATTAAATATTATAATATTATTTCATAACGTGATTTTATTTTAAGTCCTAATTAATCTTTCTGAGTCTCATCCTAACTTTAATCTTAATTCGACTTAGAGGCACATCGCCCCTCCCAAGCGTGCAAAGCAATTGAAAATATAAACTTAATCCATTGAAAGAGTAGAAAAAATAAAAACATCTCTACACAATGACGCAGAAGTCACAAATTTATATAATTTATGGCGATGAATAACATTTTTATTTTTATTTTTCAATAAAATCTGTACAATTTAACAAAGCTTATCTTTTTTTTTTTGCTGAATTATGAACTGGAAGACAAAGCCACAAGCATGATAAACAGATATTGAAGTACAACCTCATGAGTTGCTTAGTGCTTTGGATGGACTAAGAATTTAGTCAAATAACTGTTCAGTGCAAATGAAATTAAAGTACAATAGAATTGCAATTATATTATACTATTTGATCCAGAACTAGTATTAACTTATTGAAATCTAATCATTAGGACTGTAATTGAATTTTATTTTATTTATTTTTTTCAGATTTTTCAATTTTATAAGTCAATTGAAAAACTGCAGTGGACTAATTATGTTTTGAGAATAAAATTTAATAGTATAAGTTATCAATTTAGTCCTTTTTCTACTTTGGTTTCTGTAGTTGTTGCAGCCTGTCTCTTGGATGATGAGGGGACATCGTTTAAGGTGTTTGTTTGGGTAAAGGGAAACATCCCATTTAGGCACCTTATTGTATCTTTTTTTTTTTTTTTTGTCCAATTTGTATTTTTCAACTTTTACCTTGTATCTTAGATTGACTATAGTCTTGTTTTTGCTAATTCTTATTATGAAGTCGAGCATTTACGAATTTGATATTATAAATTGCACCATACAAACATCATGTTATTGAGCAAATGATGAAGCCATAATCGAATTGATGTGTAATTCTTAATCTTATAATTTTAGTATTGTCGATGTTCATGAAAATGTTATGTATATTTTTAATTGATCATACTTTACTTTATTTGTTTGAAGAAAAAGAAAATAAATATTTATTTTTAACTTTTAAATAATAATTTATATACTATCTGATATGACGAGTATGAACATGGTATATGTCAAAAAGCAAATTTTTTTCATGAGAATAATATAATTGTGAACAATTAATTACTCTAATAAATGTATAATGTTTGTTGTTAGGAGTAGAGAAGTTGACATATTATTATAATCATATTGACTATATAACAATTAAAATAATATACAAATAAAAACACATACGATAACACAATATGACTCAAATTAAATTTTGTATTGATGAAAAGACGTATCATTCATTTATTTGAATAGTAATATATTGTAAAACAGTTTAGATTTAATTTTTATTATTAGTTTATACGAATAAATCATCACTATTGGCACAACAAAACCATATTATTTAAGAATGAAGAAAATAAATTAATTTTGCATCCAAGATTTTAAAAAGATAGTATATTTGGGAACATGTAAGTCCACTCTACAATATTGCATAAGGGTGAACAAGGTTTAGGCAATGTCGTAATTGGATAAGAACTAAGTAACTTTTAGGATCTACCATTAGAAAGATAAATTTTATATGTTCTAGTTGGATTAATATCTCAAGCTTATTCTAAGCATATGACTCAACTATACATGGATTTTTTATTTTTTCTTTGTGATAATTCTATAAATTTTTCCAATATTATTGTATTTTATATTATAATTTTAGTATTATTATAATAAAAATTTTAGTTTAATTTTTATAGGCAAATGTTTTACAATGATTTTATTTTAATTATATGATTAAAAATATTAAAAATTTGAATTTAATTGTTGACCAATTAACTCTCGATTTAAGATCCTCAAATACTTTATAAATTTACATTTATATCATTAAAATTTCTTTCACATGGAAATAATCACCCAACTTACCCAAACAGTCAAGTATATAATTCAGTGTCATAATTATTAAACCATTTTTAACTCACCCCTATCAATTTATCCACAGTTTACTGTAATTCAAAATTTTGTTCATATGACTCTTTATCTATTCCCTTTGACATTAAGAGTCATCGATGATCAATGTGTATTTTCGATGACAGAATCATCCACATTGGCCCCAGATCCATCGATAAATCCATTGATAAAAAATCCATATATGATGCTGTTGATAACCAACATTTTTGTTGATATGTTAGATCTGTAGCATACATACAATCTATGATCTTTATTACATACATTTCTCTCTATATATAATATCATTCTACATGTATTGTGAACTTGTATAAATATATGCAACATTAATATATAATGTATACAAAATATACGTAATTTTCTTATAACGCTAAAAGAATTCCTAAAACTTGAACCCTCACTAAAAAGAGGAGGAATATGACACAGGATATACCCTCCAAGATCAGGTCTCTTCCATACATCCACACTCAAAAAGCAAGCATCACATTCTCTTTTTCTCTCTTCCTTTCATCACATACACACATGCATACATACATACATGTGTATGGTTATGTATAAAGGAGAGAGGATATCCATGGGATATGC